TAAAAGTGCTTTGGAGAATTTTGCCTAACTTTTAGAATGACTCTGTAGGGCCGACGAGTATTCAATCTTAAGCCAATGTGATTTAAATACTCGTAATGAACTTTAAACTAATTAGTTGAAGACGTTGGTAATTGATCTAATATCGAATAAAAGGCAAAACAATTCCTACAGAGTCTTCGGGGCCGAATTAATATAATTGGACGGAGAATTTATCGTGATGTTGTTTAAAATAGATTTAATATTAATATTCGTAGCTGTTTGATTGTTCAAATCAGCTGCTCCCAAGACTTGATTCTTTCACCCGCCAAAGACGGGGTTTAGAACATAGACGACAAGTCTCGGGGTATTAAAACGGTGAAAACGAGATATAATTTTAGACGTGATAATTATTTGTTAAGCGAACGGAGAAATCGTAATTTCGAAACTAATTAATGGTAATTAAATAAACGATAGCCACCGCTAGTCACTGGCAGGCAGGAACTGGCGGGTCAAGACTCAAGTTAAGATATTAAATTTAGGTAATTCGAAACGGAATATTAAGAAAACGAAAAGGTATAATAAGTTAAGTATGCGTAAGGTAAAACAGAAACAACGTAAAACGTAAAAAGGGGCCTAACTAATATAGTAGCTAACCTTCGTAATAATATCGTACAGTCGTCAGAGCTTCTCGTGAACAAGTCGACGGTTGAACAGCGAATAATCCTTGTCCGGCTCAAATCATGATTTCCTCGGTCGAGGCTTAATCGCTCTGGTGGTGAGTTTGAGAACTAGCCAACAGCTGATTGGAAATTCACCTGTTGAGCCGGTCTAGTTGTCGTCTGTCGTTGGTCAACAAACACCATTTCGAGGTTAAGTGATGTTGTAATCGGCGTTAAATATTCGTATAATTGGTCGTTTTAACTTTATTATGTGAAACGGAGTGCTATTATGAATAAATATATCGTTGTGGGTGTGTTTGTGTACTTCACTGTTATTAAAAGTAGGCCTACGTTCTTTGGCCCATAGCCCAAGCTATGACCAACACATAGGCCTAGGAGTAGGATGTTGTGGATAAAAATCGGGTAAGTTATGGTGTTTGTTGACTAGCAATACGTTTTTACCCCCCTTAAAATTTGGTACCTCACACGTTATATTGCAAAACATACTTGGGTAAAAAAAAACCGCTCGTACCACGAGCCAAAATGGGTTTGCAGCTCTCGATCGTTTCACGTTCTCGACTTCGTCCCGAACTTAAAACCCGATATCGAGTAGGCAAAACCTCACTTTAGGCCCTAGGTACGAAATATACTATTTTTTTACGGTGGAATTAGAGACCCAAAGATTCTCACTCCGTTGCGAAGCATGGGCAGATAGTTAGTTATAAGATTATAAAGTCTTTACTGTTTTGTCTGTACATTGCGTAGACTCATGAAGTGTTTGGTTATTTCTACGTTGTATATAATAAGATAGCCGAAACGAGTCTTGTGTACTGGTGCTACCGCTGATGGCTTATGCATGTGTACGTTAGTAGCTAGCAGACAATTTGCCAACTAGGAACATGAAATCAGCTGTTCCCCGTCCTCACTGTCGCGGTTGCTCGCCTAGCTTGTCAACAGCTGACTGCTGTAAAAATTGGATGAGGCGACAGTAACTTTTTCTAGTACGCTTCTTTACCATGGCATCTGCTAATTCAATTTTGTCCTAAAAAATGTATACACATCTCTAAGATTTGTCGCCAACTAACAAGCAATAAAAAAAAAAAAAAAAAAACCTATTGTTAATCATCCTGCAAAACTGCTAATAATTCATGATCAAATTTTCATCAGAATTCCGTTAGTTTAAATCAACGATCACATAAGACCAATAGATGGAGCACATCTATATAACTAACATACAAGCAGATGAAGCCAGGTCCGCTATCTTAGTGCAGGTTAGAAGTGGTAGATGCCAATGAAAACGGCACCAAAACTCAATGTCCAGCTTCAAAATAACTTGACATTTAGACTAAAGGTAAATCGTTGACACTTCGTGTGAAAGATTTCAATTAGTCTAGGACACTATTGGTTCTAATTAAAAGCTCAAAAGTTTATATTTTCTATTTTAAATCTTGAAATAAAGTCGGTACTTTTAAATGAGTTTTTAAATATGACATAACAAAGTTACTGTTTTTATTTCTTCGTCAGGTAAGTAAAAAAACGGCTGTTTTTATTTCTTCGTCAGGTAAGTAAAAAAACGGTGGATTTTGTGGCTAAAGAGATAAATTTCTTGGATAATATTTTTTTTTTAATTTTTATAAAGGAGAGTTGTATAAAGAGTTTCAGAAACCATCTTGTGACTTTGAAAATTTTTACATTGTAAACCAAACGCTAAACCTTTAACACACTTTAATACGATATCCTACTAATATTATAAATGAGAAAGTTTGGATGTATGGATATATGGATGTATGGATGTATGTTTGTGACAAGTGAACGCGAAAAATACTGGTCGGATTGGGCTGAAATTTGGCATGATGATAGCTCACATTCCCGATTAACATATAGGCATATTTTTATTTCAAAAATCCTTTCGGGCTCCGCCCCAGTGGCTCTGCAGTTTCCCATGTTAACCTTATGAGAAATGGAATTATTGAATCTTAACAGCTGTTTCAATTAAACCAGTTGGTTCTGTTCTATGATGTTCAATAGCATTAAAGTTACAAGGATTACCAACAGGGTGCAGCACTATTATTTCTTTTACATTTATGACAACAGCTAATTTGCAACCAAAAGGTGAGTGAGCGTAGCGAACGAACTTCAACCTGGAGGCGAGTTAGCGTAGCGAACGAGCTAACCTGAAGGCAAATGAGCGCAGCGAACGAGCTCCAACCTAAAGGTGAGTGAGCGTAGCGAACGAGCTCCAACCTAAAGGTGAGTGAGCGTAGCGAACAAACTTCAACCAGGACCTGATTGAGCCATGCGAACGAGATAATCTTGAAAATTAAGAAGTTAAACGGGGCAAAGCCCGCGGGTTACAGCTAGTAGATACATATATTATAAATTAATTTGTAGCTTTTTAGAATTTTTCTTTCGCCCAACAAGTTTTTGTAATTATTGTTAACTAACTTTTTCTAAGATACGGTAAACGCTAGGAAACAAATTAAAAGCGTATTTTAAAGGCCATTGTTCAACCGTCATGAATTGTTACATACCAACCTTTAGAGCCCATTGGTGACATTGGGGGGTGGAAGTCTAAATTTAGTTCATTACAATTACGTAAATAACTACGTTACCAATTTATGTTTGTAAACAAAAATCAATTTTTTAATGGTTACGTAATAGCTATTTACATTACAAGTGTAGTAAGAGCGTTTTTACTTCACGCAGGTGAATGTTGTGCAACGAGCGGAAGCGAGTTGCATAATTCACCTAAGTGATGTAAACAGCACGCTCTTGCGTAACGTGTAACGTACAAGATTTTACCTGACCCGACAATAAACATGGGTTTACGTACAATATTTTTCATTATCCATTTCACTCATCTTCTATCAGTAACGTTCTTTTACTAACAAAAGCTAGGTTAGGTAGGAAAATACTTTAAAGCATAATAATAACATTCAAGCGCACAGCTGATTTCTAGCGTTGAACATCGTTGGCTCCATAGAGTTATATTTTTTAAGTTAAGCACTCAATGTTATTTAAATGGGTTTCTTTACATCACCGAGTGAGTTTTTGATACTTTACATCACTCGAGAAGTAAGGAAGTTGTATACATCACGCTTGGGATAGGGAAGTTTAACATGGCGGGTTAGGTAAATCAATTTAAATTATTATTTACTACACAAATTATTTGTAATGTAAAACATTGTTCACCACTCGGAGCAAAAGTATATTATTTATGGTACTTAAATTGTTTTATAGTACGTGGCAGTATAGTATTTTATTAGTTTATTAGTTGCTTGTTGCACTGTTCTACACGCTGCTCAAGCTCTACAGCTCATTAAGTGGCATCCTGTCCACACACTGTTGATATATACTGAATTGTGGCATGGTGCCACTATTTTGAGTGTAAGCTGGCGCGAGAATTGGCAACGTAGCATTAGGAAAGTTATAGTTCCGGCGGACGGCGCGAGGCGCGCTAGCTACCTGTATGGTTTCGTGTTCCACAATTCGGTGTGTACCTGCGCTACTTAAACTCACATCAACGAGTTCAAAAATACTCAATTGTGGCATGTGATGTTTAAACGACGTAATAATGCTGGAAAACCTCAAAAATGATCGAATTAGCTGTGGCACCCTGAAAAAGGTGCCACAATTTTTGAAGGTGCCACAGTACGGCCGTGTGCCTGTGAAGGATGCCACAATTCGGTGAATACAAACACACACACACACACCGTGGACATTACTTTGATTAACACTTTTTTGGGTTTAGGGGGACCCAAAACGGATATATCCACTCAAAAGTCAAAACTAAAACTCAAAAAGTTTTGAGTTACTATGTACAGGCGGAGAAAGTAAAAATGGATTTGCCTATTGTAACTTAAGTCAAGTTACTGTGTAGTGTCAAACATACTGCATCATGTTTTCCAGAAATGTATTTAAAAACATTTATCTTATAAAACACTAACACAGCCTTTAGAACAACATTTTTTTTAATAGGTAGCGACTTAAACAGTTTTAAATATACGTTTTTGATTAACTTTTCAGGTTTAACAGATCTATGAATAAAATACTTGACACCTGAAACTACTGTGTAACAATCCATTGATTAAGATTAAACAGACCAAATTAAATAAAACTGAAAGAAGTCTGGTGAGTACGGTAATTTAAGTTTAGACCTACTATTAAATTAATCAAGCAACGAGAAAGACTTAATTTTTAGTAGCCCTTGCGTTAGGGCAATAGGCCAAGTTAAATACAACTATGACATTAAATTTAAGTTAACCATTGCCTAAAATTATAGGCCTAAATCAGTCTCAACTCAACATGTTTTAATAATAAAGAAAATTATACGTCTATAATCGTAAATTAACCAAAACTTACAAAGTATATTTGCTCCTGTAGAAGCCAACCATTTTGTCATTGAGAGTTCCGCTGAAATGAGTCTCCAAAACGGCTTCTCCGGCAGCGAGAGATTGTCCGAACTCCAAAGTAAGCGTTTCATTTTCTACAGAAATCTGTCGCTTCGGTGTCAACAAAGATCCGTCTGCAGTGGTCAATACCGCATGAGAAACATCTAACTCAGCAGCATTCAAGACTATTTTGTTTGTAGGTTCATTTATCTGGGAAAACATGTTAACATGTGTCAGTTTCTAATAATTTATTATGGTAAATATTTCATTTGTCACATTCTTGCAAACAGCTTAAGTTAACTTGTGACACACCTTTATTAACAAGACTAGAGTAATCAATCCATTATTAGATGCCTTATTAATATTATATTGGCCTACCTAATAGGTAGTAGGTAGCTTACCCTCTCAAATAGATGAATGGGAATGTTATGCCCACGCGCTACAAAAGGTAGGCCTATCCATGGACCTATTGCGAGAATTTCACAAGATCCAAAAATATAATAAGTTCACAAGGTCTAAAGGATGTTTTTTTTAGTAAAAAAATTTAAAAATCATTTAGGCCTACCAGTTTAAAATAGGCCTAAATATTTACATTGTGAGTTAACTTATGAAAGAGACATCATACTTTTTGGACCTCGTGAAAATAGTGAATGTGAGAAGATCAAAAAGTAGGAAACATTTTCTCTCACAAATTGAAGGCGTTGTTTATTATTTTTATCCGTGGCTGGGAACACGATAGGCTTGGCTGTCCCAACTTAACACGACAAAACATTAGTCTACACGTTTACCAACTATATAGCCTAGTTCGGCCGCTTAGAAAACGACCTGCGTGCTAATGCTAAACCAATGCTGGAGGAGGTCGCTTTCTAAGCGGCCGAACTGTAGTAGGCCTACTGATGTATAATTAACTTACTAATTACCAATTGTTACTAAATTACTAATGTTACGTAGGCCTACTAATTGTTGAACATCTTGAATTTTGATCAAATTTGCATACAACTTAGGCAAAGTTACTAGTAAGTTACGGTAGTATTTTAAGCTCTGAAGTATTTTAAGATACCGGTAGCCTAGTCTTAAAAAAATTCAAAATTGCATTTAAGGCCTATGTTAAAGAATGTAGGTTGCACTTTAGTTTACGTCCTACATTCTACATAAATTTAAACATTAACTACCAGCTGATTATGAAATGAAACTGATCTAAACTAACCTTACCTTAACCAAACATGAAGTATGTGAGTAAATGTAGGACCTTTTTAAACTACGTAACGTCATAAACAAAAAGAATTAGGCCTAAATAGGCTATAGACCGTCAGCCATGCAGTGGTTACCACAGGTTCTGGCACACTTTGCTGGGAGCGCCGTGTAGTTACGTAGCGCATAGGCCGTAACTACATGGCGCTCCCAGCGGTGAGCCAGAACCCATGGTAACCGCAGCACAGCTGACGGTCTATATTTAATTCTTTTTGTCCATGCTAACGTGCAGCCAGAATGTAATCTAGCAAGTAGGCTACACTATAGGCCTAACAATTTTAATGAGGGATGATGATGAGATCAGCAGTTATGATAAAAATACTTGACGATGGTTCACTGTTTCCAAGCATTTTGGGGCAAACAACGTGTAAGTACTAGGTAACAGGAGCTCCGCTCAATCCCTAAGTTAAGCTAATCTAGGCCTTTGAAGTTAACTTAGTCCAAGAATAACTTAAACTTAATAGGTACCGGTGTTTAATAATGAATACCCTAACTTATAGGTATATATTGTCCTATGAACATTTGGCAATATATTTTAGATCTAGGCCTACAACGCGATATCGTGAATTTTAATTTTAGATGTCTACTCACAGTTTTTTTACGTTAAATCCAAATACCCCCGCTGCAGCAAACCTGCCGACTAAGCGAATTTTTATTTGTCTGAATTGATTTTCAGTTAAATATAATTTTAATAACATTAGGTTTAACGAGTACCTAGGTTTGCTGCTACAAGGAAACTAATAAAGTGTGTTTTTGAGTAAAATATTGATAGCTTAGTACAAAATAAATAAATTTGCCAAGTTTGATCAAAATATATTCATAAACAAGCAAACTACAACATTTGACAATATTCTCCATAAGAATAACATGGGAATTTTAAATTTACAGTATAACGAATCTGAAGGGACCAAACTGAATATTCGTTATATCAAGGATTTCGTTAAAACGAGGTTCGTTATATAGAGGTTAGGTTTGCAGGAATTTCGTTAAGTCGAGGTTCAGAACCAGCGTCTGTCAATATAGGTCGGGATTTGACCTCATTAAAATACAGTACAATTAAAGTAGCATAGGCTACAATACTTTACAGTAGCTACAGTGTTTACATTGTACAGTAGAACCTAAATTATCCGGCATAATAAAGGGGAGGGATCTCGAATATTGCGCAATCATGACAATGGCATTGACCTTGGTACAGGTTAAAAGCTGTAAGTTTTATCACAGCTTGTTCTAACCCTCCTAAAACCTATCCAAACACTGTATTGTGTAGTCATAAACCATGTAAAGAACAAAACAAAACAGTAGAAAGTTTTGTAAGCTACTGCTCGCGATAGGCCGGTAGGCTACTTACAGTACAGTATTGATTTATCACAACAGAGGAATGTCAATAATAATCAGCATTGGTGTTGCTAGTTGAAACAAATCGTATGGAAAACAATTAATTATTAGATAAGTCATTATAAAAGTGTATAATCATGAGCCAACTTAAGGATAATAAAAACACTCGTAAAAGGAATGTTAAAATAACGATGTTGCTATTCTTTCTCTTTGGTTTTGTTTTTATATTCTTTCTTATGTTTCACTTTATCCAAAAATTGTACAATTCCCCATAGTTACTTATCGCCCAATCAGAGCTTACTAAACATTACGTCGTCCTCGTCATCAGTCCTCACCTCGGTGAATGAAATCAGTTCTCAGTTGCAAGTTGCAACATAGCGCGCGCAGCGACAGCAGACAGAGATGTGTAAAACGGAGCAGACGAATGTTACTGTAGCGCAAGCGATGACGTGACCTTTCCATTTCATTTGATAAAGAAACAATCCCAAAACAATAATTGGGTGGGGGATCTGTTATATCGAGGGAAAGACGTAGACAATTCGTTATGCAGAGGTTAAATTCGCTACGTAGAGGTTCTGACAATGATAAATTCATTATATTGAGGTGTCTTATTTTATCCGAAATCACGAAAAATTCGTTAAATCAAGGTGGTTGTTATGGTTTGTTCGTTATGTAGAGGTAAAATATACATTGTGTCTTATGGAGAGTTCTAGGGGATTAAAAAAAATTTGTTATATATCAAGGAATTCGTTATATCGAGGTTCGTTATATCAAGGTTAGACTGTAGGCCTACAATTCTTTTAATTTTCTCCGTTACTAATAATCGAACAAAAATACTTTTATATAGGCCTAATAAATTATTTGTTTTTTTAAGCTCTTTAAAAAGGTCTAAAGAGAAATTGGGAAATTTTGTGTTTTGAGGGTCAAAAGTGAGAAAAACCAATTTTTACCCCATAAAACCCCCCGTAAAGCCCCATTCCCATGGTCCGATCGTGCTGGTTCGGGAACTCATTCAAGTTTATCCCGCTTTACACCTTTAAACAAAATTTCATCAAAATCGGACAAAAATTACTCAAGTTCACGGACGTATATATATAAAAATTTGAACGAATAGTGTTTTTGGCCTCTGGGGACATCAAAATGAAAAAGTAAATCAGTCCTGGGTCTAGGTCTTACCGTGCCACCTACGGTAACTTAATAGCTACTTTCCTATATAACTTAGGGAAATTCGCTAATATGCAATAAGTTTTTGTCTGAGAGATTCCTATGTAAGTGGCCGTAAAATGAAGGTTAATATCACAAATCGGCTGCACTTTACTTTAGGTCCTACACTCATTCGAATGAAAATATCGATCGATATATATCGATTGTTTCATTCGATATATCGTTTGGTTAGTTAGGTATAAGGTTAACCTAACCTAACTAACCAAACAATATATCGATATTTTCATTCGAATGAGTGTAGGACCTAAAGTAAAGTGCAGCCCACAAATCTAAGGTTCATTGAGCGGTACTGATGGTAGCCTAATATGGCGTGGTCTGGACGGGTCCGTTTGTGGACTGAGGACTGAGAGAGGAGGAGAGCAAACAGCTGTTTGTACTCAACTTTAAGGTTAATGCGGAATGAAATCAATTCGTTTTTAAACCAAATAACTTAAGTTTAATCGGTTCTTATTTATTTACTGCTTGAGATTCATTTATGATCTGAGACGCAGTGAGCGTATCACGCCTTACTACATTAATTCTAAGCTATTAAAGCTATGTGACCTTAGATCAATTAAAATTCTTTTGCTAACCTATTCAATAATAAAAACAAATTTTCCAAAATATTTCGTAGATGATTTTAGGTTTGTAGCTGAAGAAAGTGTTAGATTTTCACGCTATGCTTCATTGACTTTGCGTATGCCTCATCATAGGACTGCAGTTTACGATAGAGCGTTTGTTGTGACCGCTTGCCGACTTTGGAATGACCTCCCCTTAGCCATCAAATCCCTTGACAACCGTTCCCGGTTTGTGGCAGCGCTAAAAAATATGTATTTTGAACGTTATGGCCATGGTTGGTTTGTCCTAGGGGCTTGTACGCGTGGTTGGTCACTGACAGATGTGCTTGGTGTGTGTGTGTGTGAGAGAGAGGAATATTATTTTTGTACAGTTTAAAATGTAAGTTATTTTCTTTTGTTAAAGTTTCTGTATCCATGATTTAGATTTTGTTTTTGTTGTATATTAATGTAGGCCTAATTGGTAAAATATGTGTGTTATATTTATGACAGGTTAAGTGTAAGAAAGGGCCATGTGGCCCTTACTTTTGCCTGTATAAATAAATAATATTTCATTTAATTTCATTTAGGCATGTGAGGAAGGTAGCTTAGGTCGGGTTTTATGCGGATTTGTAGGCCTACCTATTAAGGGTTTTGAAGTGAGGTTAGATTAGGTTGGTAAAGGTTTGGTTGAGCCGACTCATTAATTTATGCTAGGCCTACTTCCAGACTGTTTTTGCACAGTTAAGTGGGTGAAACACAATGAAATAAAGATATCAAAATGCGTGTGAATAACTCAACTCAACAAAACTGAAGCTTAATAGGTTATTAATTATTTAACTGTAGGCTATTCACTTAGGAATCTCTCCGACAAAAACTGATTGAATTTTTGGATTCAGCGTGAAAATTACTGAAGCCTAAGTAGACATGTAAAAATTACATGATATCGCGTTGTAGACATATCAAATAATTACCGAACATTATAACTTAACTTACTTGCATTAGGAATCGTCAGTTAGGGCTAAGCTAGGCTAACTTAGGCCTACAGATTCTGCAAGAAAGATCACAAAGCTAACTTAGGCCTACTAACAATCAACATGCTTCTACAAAACTCTCAACGGTTCTAAAAAAGTAAGTTTAGGATAGGCCTACCCCTAAATAAATAAATACCAAAGACTTAGGCCTAATGTGACTAAGCCCTATGTAAGCCTAGCATAACCTTCGTACAGTAGGCCTAGGCTATGCTAGGCCGATCACTAACATTTTCCAAAATCGCAAACGTTAACTACCCCTAACTTGGGCCTACCTTAACTTAAGGCCTTCAAGTTAGGTTAAATCCAAAAGCTTATTATAGGCTAGTCCTGCATTCCCAATTATTTTGTCATCATAAGTTAGGGTGACAATTTCATCCTAAAGTTAGGATTTACCTATACCTACACAAGCTTAGAAATGTTTATTTTGTACATACCACAATTTTCACTATCTCTTTTCCTTCAAATGTAAACTTTGATAAGTTAGGTCTCAAGAATAAATCATAATTCTTAGGAGTCACCGTTTTGGGAAGCCGCTCGAAAAATTTCTTTTCTGGCATGATTCTTTGATTCTGTGTATGAATTGATCGACGCACAATATCACTGGTTGACTTAATAGTACAATTTAAGTCGTCACTAGAGGTGAAGATGTGCACTGCTGGAATAAATTCTTGTAGAAGTGAAGTTAACCTAGGTTTACACCGCCGGGCAGAAGGACTACAAGAAGAAGACTTCAACCCTTGCCGCAGTACTGTTGTTGTTCCACTGACACGTATTCTACTTTCTTGCTCCGGCAGAATATAACGGAACCAACAAAAGCCGTCCGTAAATAAAACCGGTTTCTTACAGCTCTTGATAATGCCGGCAACAAAAACAGCGAACTTAAATGTTGTCATGTGAACAGGTACAAAAAATGCTGTCTCATCTTTCAGATGATTGATGTCGCCAGCGTTGACAACTTTGGAGTCTTTGGTGGAGTCGTTTGGCAAAAAACAAGCCAATTAAGGCAATTCCGTTACATGTAAACATGGAACCATGGATTACTAATTACAAGCATTTTCTTAATAAATGATTTTAAAATGTAATTTGTATTACAATAATTGTATGCAGCTAACGTAGATCATAAAAAATCTTAATACAATAGGTGAAGAAGATTCGTCAAATTGATATGACTAAAATAAAATTATAGGTAAAATTTCCCACAACTGACTAAGTAAAAGCATGTAAAAGTAAATTCTCGTGATTGACTGGCTTATAATATGTGTTGATATGTGTTATATGTGTTGCACCTTGTTTAAACTGAAATTAATAATGTAGCAATGCCAAAAAACCAATAAACCTACCGCAGCAAACCTGCAGACTATGCAATTAAATTTCAATTGTGAGATTGGATTTTTACTGAAATATTTACATAAAAAAGTATTTAATTATTTCCCATTTAAATAACACGAGATTAAATCTAATGGTTAATTATAAGGACTAAATTCGAGTGCCTAAAAAAAACAATTAAAATTCGAGCTGGTGTGCTGCTACGGTTGAGGATGTACTTTTATAACCAACATAACATATTTAGCCAAATTTTATCAACATTGCACATTAAATACATTTTAAACAAAATAAAATACTTTTTACATTAAATCAAATACTTTTCCATAATCAGGCAAACTACAACATATTTCTTTTTATCCATAAGAATAACATGGAAATGTTGAATAGTACTTTACATACTTTTTTAAATTTTATTTGTAACGTCCAATTTTACAACAATGATGCTTCAATATTATGTTTTTAAGCTCTACACGATGGTTGTATTTAAAATTGGATATTTTTATATGCTTTTAAGGGTGAAAAATAAACAGTTTTTGAAAATTTCAAAACCCCAAAATACCCCATTCCTATGGCCTGAAGTTGCTGGTTCTGGAACTCATTAGTTTATCCCACCCTACAACTTCAAGCCAAATTTAATAATAATCGGACATAATATTATATATACATGAAGGAATGTTTTAGCCTTTAGGGACATCAAAATGAAAAAGTAAATCGGTCCCGGGCCCAGGTCTTACGGTGCCAACTATGGCAATAGCTACTTCCCTTTATAGGGTAATTTGCTAATTTTTCATGTTTGTTTTTCCGCTGCTATCAACACGTTTAGTTTAGGAGTCACCAAGAAGCCGGTCCTGCTAGAGGACTTTCACTTTTTGTCAATGTTCCCAGCCGTCTGCTGTAGGGTATACCGTTAGGTAGAGAGGGAACCCTTCAGCCTCAGACTAACCCTGACCTTCACTATAATAGTGCACCAAACAAAATAAATTACAGGAGGAGTAGATAAATACGTTTCTCTGATAGTAAAGTGTTTTGTTGGTTAAAATGGTTAGAGTATCATATTTTAGCAACAAACTATAGCTATACTGTATAAAATACAACTATTCCTGGAAAAAAATACTTAGGTATTTGGAACTTTCCCTTACTAAACAACATCAAAGTCTCTAAGTGATATTCCTGCAGCATTGGCTTTTTATCTTGGCGAAGCATCTGAACAATTAGGAGTCTACGACAAAGGCTTCCACAAGACTTGCTGGACGAAGCTAGAAGAAAAATTGAACATGTTTAAAATTACTACTCTACAGTATCTGAATTTTTGACGTTGCAGGGGTCTAAGGACTGAGCGAACCCACAATGTTACCACTGTCATTTTGTTAATATTTAGTTCAAACTTCTTTGAATAGTTTCCGCGGTGTGGGTAATAAATAAATTAATTTTTAATTGCATTATAACATAGCTGATGAGTGATGACCAACAATTAAAATTATTTCTAGTATTTTTGAACATTAGTATAGTCATTTAAATTTCATTGAGTCTACTCATTATTGTTTCACCCCTTTTCTTGAGCTGAATTTGTTTAAGCTCTTGCAAGGATTTGACTTAAAAAAAAAAAAAATTGGACTTCACAGTTAGTTGTGGTCTATAAAATTCCCAACAATATTGAAGAAGATGATCAACTGATGGTTTTTTATCAGCTTTCCTGGACAGTTCTCAGAATATTTTCTCAAGGAGTAGAAAGTTGAATGTCCATAAATGATTAGTGAAGACAGGACATACATTTAGACGTAGGCTACTCAGGATTGCCAATGGTTTAATTGGCCTGCTAGTCGTGAAACTTGAATGAGTCATACCTTAACCATAAGTTTGCATGAAGTTTTTGCTGACAAGTATCTTTTCGTTTTCTTATTAGGTAGCCTATAGCCTACTATATTGGATTTGTATGGATTCCAATTTTCCAAACCGTTATGTTTTTTGCGTCATACATAATCCTAAATCGATATCCTTGTGTGTAACGTCCCTCGACTACTATAGATAAGTATTGTATTTAACTAGTTTGTACAACGTTGTATAGATAGCCAATGGGGCTCTAGTCGTGCCACAAAGGCAAAACAACTCCACTGTAGACGCTTCGGGCAGACAGATTCGTGTGTAACGGTCCCCAAGGTCGGCCGTGCTCCGTGCTAATAAAGCACGCAACACGCAACACGCAGACACGCAGACGCAATCGCATTCACATGGGCATACGCCCGCCGTCGATACAAACATTGTTTAGAACATGAAGGGATTTCTATATTGCTTGTGGTTAAAGTCTAACGGCTTAAAATCCTTTTATAAGGTCCTTCAGGAGATTTTCTTTTGCGTAATAGGCCTACTTTCCAAAAGACTTTAGAGAATAAGCTTAATTTTCAACGTAAAATTTTTTAGACATTTGGTTACAGTATAAAATGGTCAGACAACTTTTATAGAGGTAAGATGGTGGCCAAACAGCTTTTTTGTTCCTAGGGAGTAAAAATCAGCTGTTGTAAAAAGTTCTTCGATTGTAAGTACTTGGATAAATCGAAATTATTTATCGATTGATTTAGTTGGTTCTTGATCTATTTTTCCATTCTTGTAAATAATTACACATATCATATCAATTACACATATCGTACATTACACATATCAATCGTGTAATGTACAGTAACACAATTGTAATAGACGAATTAATAGTATCGCTTATTAAACAGCAGCTTATTTGAATTAGCAATATTGGAATCAAGTTGGAAGGTGTTTTGAGAGGTTATACTTACATTACAAGTATTTTCGTTTTCTACTTTGCTAATTTAAGTATTATTATGACGAAAAACATAGTTCATCGTTCATCACACGGGAAATAAGTGGTTTTTCAAGCCCCGCTCATTTTCCCAACTTGGCTTCGCCTCGGTCGTGAAACTTGAAAGTAATATACTATTATTGACGTTTGTTTACTGTGAGTTAGAAGCAAACTTGTTTTTATACTTCTTAAGACCTTAAGTCACAGGAGTTTATCGCTAAACAACATTATTAAAAGGCATTAGGCTATTATTGTTCACGGCATATAGTCTACGGATAATTAATTACTGTTTTTACCTAGAAGGTTGTGTTGGTGGCCAAACAACTCTTAGACGTTTGTTTACGGTAATTTGATGGCCATACCCAAACCATTATTTAGGATTATACCTTTTATGTTTGAATAGTCAGTTGTTATACGAAGTTGTTTGCTTGGGCTTATCCCAACTCCGCGCAGTGGTCAGAAATCTGCCAAAACCGACTGTCCAACTCCGCGCAGTGGTCACTTCGGATCCCTCGCGGCACATGTCCAACTCCACGCAGTGGTCAATTTAGGCTCTCACAGCCCTGAGGACCCCCCTTACCGACCGTATGATGTTGAAAAAAAAACAACTTTTACAGATGCGTGAAGGTAAAGATTTGGCTAAAAATCTGTTAACGTAATATTTGACGTAGGACTACTATTAGCCAGATATGTGCATATTTCATATTTTATAACTTTCATTATTTGTTCATAAGAGATACTAATACAACTACAATAAAAATAGTAATTATTGCTATTACAATTACACACGTAGAAAACGCAATAACAATTGAAATGTAAGTTATTTGTTTAATAGTAGTAGGCCTACTAGTTAAGTCGATATTCCATAATTTTGTATTTCATTACGATATCGCATTCATTGTCATTGCAATTAGATATCCAAAAGAAGTGGTTCTATGTGTTTGCGTCAATCGAAAGTAAAAAATCAAACCATTTATGCCGGAAGGCTATATCATGAACTGAGGTACTGTAACATATACTCCGTTCAAACAGCCGTGGCACCTGAGAGATTAGGAGGCCCCAAGGGTTTTCATGGGGTGTCCTAATCCGTCAGGTGCCACGGCTGTTTGAACGGAGTTTTTTTTTTATAGATTTATTAATGCATTTAGGCCTACTTAAAATTACCAATGGACATATTGACTATTGAGTCCCAAATTAAGGATTTTTGCGATTAAGTTTTGTTATTAGTTTAGTGATTTTTTTTACCATTTACTAAAGTAAGTTTTAAAGGACCATTCTTCTCCACCCTTCTCCGGTTCAAACAAACTGAGTTTTTTTTGTTTAAACTAAGTCTAGATCTTAGGATGAAAATACACTTAAACCCCAAACCTTACGTCTGCAAGTAAAACTATTCAATGACTCAGACATCCAAAGCTTGTCTATTGATAAGGCGAACTTTACCCTTTTATCTATAACTTTATCACCAGATACTGAGTCAAGTACGAACCATAGAACATCACCTCATCATTGCTTAGAAAGTCTTATCAGCAATGATGTCGGCTCTTTGAACTGTGGACAAGTATATTTATAGTATTTCTTTTTATTTTCAACTTGATACTGTAGTAACACCGATCCAGACTACAATTCTATTTTCTATAACTGATAACACCAAATTTGATAGAAATAGATAAAGTTACTTTTAGTGACAATTAAGATGTTTAAAACATAAATATTGAGTATTCAACTTAACCCAATTTATCGCTTTGTTTTCAGAT